TTGCTTGACTACTGCATCCTCTGAGTCACTGTCTTCTTCAATACCTTGCACCAGTTGTTTCTTCTGCTCTTGTAGAAACTCCTGCATCATAGAGGCCTGGAACACGACCACTCTTACTTTTTTAATATTTTTACAGCGGGCAATGAATGCGCTTAGTGCTTTGAACGTCAGTTGGGCTGAGTCCGCTGCGGTCAAGCCGTATCCTCCTGTGCCAACACACGGAATTGAGATTGCTTGAAGATTATTGGCATCCGCAACACAAAGACCCTCCTCCAAACATTGCTGGAGATGGTGCTTATCTGAGGAGCCTGGAATTATGTGAATAATATGAGGCACTCGTAAATTACCTCCGCTGGTCATTTTCGCTGTTCCAGGAGGCTGCTTTCCCAATTTGTTGCATTCTTGTTGCACAAGTCGACCACTCCGTCTTGCTATGGCTTTGCTTAGGTCTCCAGCATTATTCATGTTCATGTCCGTGCTGTTGATATTCATGATAGCATCAGTGCTGTTCTCTTGCGTCAAATCACCATTTATCACCTCGATACTGAACGGGCTAGTTAAGGTTATGCGCTGAGCCACACCTACCTGTGGAGAAAACGAATGCCTCTGATGTTCTTGCTGAAATGCCGACAGCATTGGAGACTCGAGGATTACGATCCTGACCTTGCGGACACTACGGAAGCTTCCACTAAAGTTTGTCAGGGCCTTAAATATCAGGCTGGCCGAGTCCACTGCAGAAACATGGAATGCACCAGTACCAACTGCGGGAATCGAAATGGATCTAAGACTATGCGTCTCTGCCAGCCGAAGACATCTTTCAACACACTGCTGGAGGTGGTCTTTATTATTGGTGTCTGGAATTAAGTGAATAATTTTCTGCGTAGGGAGATTTCCACTGCTGGTGATCAATGCGGTTCCACCTGATTGCTGTCCGAACTGCTTCAACTCAGTCTCAACCTGTGGCCCGGCTAGCTGTTTCACCGTCTGGCTCAACTTTCCAGCACTGTCCATATTCAAGTCTTTACTTGTTATATTCACTATGGCATCCGTAGTTTCCTGGCACAAGTCGCCCTGCAAGACTTCAATGCTTACACCCAATGTCCCCGCTGTTTTCTTCCATCCAAAGAAGGAACGTATTCCTTTAGTTAAAGTCGTGATGGCAGGGAGGCTAGTTTGCTTGGGCTGTAGTTTGTCCATCTCTTGTTTGAAGGCGGTAGTTAATGCTTGATCTTGGTTAAACACGACAAATCGGATGTCCCGTAAATTAAGACCAGGGTTGGTATTGCAGAAATTGACTGTTTCATCCAACATGATTCTCGAGGCTGCATCGCGTGGGAAGCGCAGGTTTCCAGTCCCAATGACAGGAAATGCAATGGAGTTCGCTCTAAGCGTTTGGCCTGTTTGCAGACACTTTTGAACGATGGCCCTTAGCGTCTACAAAAGATGAAATAGAAGTTGTTGAAAATCTTTTCGTTCCTATGTGATCTCAATAGCAATTCTCCACACTGTCTTCTGTACATTTCTTTTGAGTTTGGAACTTAAAATTTAGCGTTAAGTCATACAATATCCCCTTATTGGTATATTTTCCTTCTTCCCGTCGCCTTTCCGGTTGATAATGGATTGATAATAGGAGGAGAAAAAAAAATGACTGGTCACTCCTTAAAGAGTGACCTTAAAAAGGTTAAAAAACTGACTCCCCTTCAAGCTATTTTTAGTTTTCTTGGAATTTGTTTTCCGGGGATCAAAGTTATCTGAAACTTGAATTTTGTTAACATTTTCAGAGGATATTGAGAGGGCGCCATGCAGGATGTTCACACCAGAGAACATCAGGATCAGGATCAGGATCAGGATCGAGGATGTTTGAATTATAACTTCACGGAAATTACCTTTAGTCCTAATTAATTTTTTCTCATTTTGTTTTTTTTCTAGCAAGATCTTTGCTCTCACCAACTCTACAAAATTTCTGATTAAGATTTTCGAATGATACCAGAAATTGAAAGTTACTTTATGAAATAATTGTGTCGTTACATATACGATTGATCATTCCCGAAGAGAATGGTCCTGTTACGAAAGAACAACGAACCGACGCTATTTATTCTATTCCTTGCAATGACTGTGATAACGAGTATCGAACGGACCAAACGTCAGTTTGGTACACGTTTGAAAGAGCATCAAAAAGCGGTTTTCTTTTATAAAAAAGAAAATTTAGCTTTATCGGAGCACACATGCCTAACCAACCCTACAATTCAGTGGGATAAGTCTAAAATTATCATTACTAATCGGCGTTACCACCAGCGCCTTTGTTTGGAAGCCTGGCATATTAACTCCGTCCACGCTCCTCTAAATCGTGATGATGGCGGCCTACTTCCTGACGCCCATTTACACCTCGTTAGAAAAAAGGCAGCTAATTGGTGAACGTATAAAGGGACCTCTGGTTGCAGCGTTTAGATCACCCCTGATGAAGGCATTAGACAGGAATGTCGAAATATTGGGTCTATGAATTGTAACTTCTCGGTTACATTCATTAAATCTTTAAACCAGAGTAGCATCAAACCATGTCTGACATGACGGAATGTTTGACGATAACCTACATCGGAAATAACATCAAATCGAGCCTGAACAGTCTTCAGTTGCTGTATGCTACAAGAGAATGGATAGGATTCGCCAGTCGGGCATCCGACTGTTTAGGCTTTAATCAAATCTAAACAATAAGTACTCTTCAATGTATTTTCATTGTTTCTTACCGGTTCCCCTTCACCGTTGTTCCACTTACAACAGTTAGCGAGAATCACGTGACTGACCGAGGAAAAACCACCTGAGACAGTAATGTCACCAACGTTGGGGATTTTGGACTTGGGGCCACCGGTGTTAATGATTGCTATATGGCATGCTCCTAGAGAACAGACAAGTACGTCAGCCTAGAAGACACAACCAAAAAAATATTGTCAGTGCTTCATGAACTTCTTCAATATGGTTGACTGTAATCGTTATCAGACTTGGCACTCCTAATTAGAGAGGCGTTACATAATGTAACCACACTCTATGAGCAGATGAGAGCTAAGTGAAGAACTAAAATCCATATAAGAGGAATGGTAAGTTTTTGAGCTCGGTGAAGAAATAAAGAAACATTTTTTTCGTCTTGTCCCATGCTCGTGGCAAGACGAAAAACATTTTTCTTTATTTCTTTACGGAGCTCAAAAACTACCATCTCTCTTGTTTCCATCTACAAACATTACGCTATCGACATTGCTGATCCTAGCAGTATACAGGACGCGTGTTATATGAACTTCGTAATGTGGCTCAGTGGTAGAGCATCGGAGCGCGGAATCCAAAGGTCTGAGGTTCGATTCCTCATGGCGACTCAGATTTTTTTTCTTTGTCACACGCTCGTGACAAGACGAAAAACATCTTCCTTTAAAATCCATATATGTGCCAACAAGATCCTCTAAGGTATTTTCGTAAAATATTCTGCTGGTGTGAAGAAATAAGTGAGTCGATCTTACCTTCTCTTCCGCTATGTTTCCAGGTTTCCACGACACTCTGTACCTTTGGGCTATTACCAGGGTAGACGAGTCAGTTCCAGTAGTGGTAGCGTGGTCATCCTCCGCATCATCTTCACCGTCGCCTGAAGTAGTAGAGGCTTCAAAAACAGATTCGACGCGCAGCTCCTCTTCCTTTCCTCCTCGACCTAAACTTTTCTGGACTTTTATGGCACAGTCTTGTTGTTTTTCCACCATTTTCACCAGCTGATCTCCTTTTCCACTGTCAAAGTATTTTCGAAGGCCTGGCTGTTTCACTTCAAAGGTTTTGAACTCAGTGGAATCCATCAGAGCATCGAGCTTCTTTCCTACACGTTTCAAACCATCTCTGTTTCCAGAAATGACAAAATCATCATTGTCTTTTCCCTTTTTAATACTCACTACAAAATCTTTTAGTTGATTCTCTATGGTGCGTAGATCTTCTTGACGTGGCTCAAGAAGATACCTTCGCATAATATCAGACGTGCACACAAACCTTCCCTCCCTGATGCAATTGTTTTCAAGAAAGGTATTTAACTTCTTTATCACTTTGGTCACGTCATCACGAAACCCAGCTACGTATGTATCGTTCCAGTTGTCCCTCCGGACACGGACAGCCGTTTGGTTCATCTCGCCACACAACCTCAGCCATTCAGATGACTTTAATAAATGCTTGCTTTTCTCGTCCACTTGAACTTTCTCTTCCACCGTCAACTTGTTCACGAGCCCCGCCGCGTTGTTTGCATGCGCTGCTGATGATCCCACTATGGTGGCGTCTTTCTCAATAACGAACACTGCTTCCACGTTGTTTCTTTCCAACTCACATTTGACAGTCTGAAGCCCCTCATCTGAGTTTAAAATCTTCAGGATGCTGACGGATAAAGTTAGTTTCTTCTCAACCATGTCAGCCATTTGTTTGTAGAACTTCATGGTTGCCTCAGTGAATTGTGACTGGGGACCTTCGAAATATATTTCTTCACCTTCAGTATTAATCTTGATCTCCAGCTCCTTGTTCTTTTCTTGGAGTTTCTCGGCAAATTTTATCTTCTTCAGCAAAATTAGGCGCTCCTTAGGAACATTTGGAATTTTCTTCTTCAGGTAAGTTTTTCTGGTCTCCTCGCGGTATATTTCTTCCAACTTTGACTTCACCTTATCCTCGTTATTTTTCACGTTTGTTCCTAATGAAACGATCCTAGCAATATTTGAATCAGGAATAGTCTTGATCAGCGGGGGATCAACTCCTAAGCAGATGCGAATGCTGGGAACTTTTGCTACAACGGCTTCCCAGAAATCCTTGTTGACCTGCACATCGCACTTCGCAAACTTGCCGAGATAATTTTGTACTTGGTCAATACATTCAGATTGCCATAAATCACTGTCATCTTCCCCACGGTACACTATTACAGCCATTTTGCTGTTGGGTTTCCAGGTGATTTCGCTCTTCTTTCCAGCCAGCGAATTGTTCAGTTCAGCTTGGAATCCTGTAGACGTGACGTATTCCATAACATCGGGATCTACAGCTATGTACAGCTGTTGTGCTTTGGCATCACGTTTCTGGCTCACTCGAGATTCACTGGCCGCGGTTGCAGTAGCTCCTAAGTCACCGGAATCCTCCGCTCCATCAACGTCTTCGTCTTCTAGAAACTCTCGGTAAGCTCTATTTGACAGCTGGGTTTGTTCAATCTCATAAGGTTTCTCTTCATGTCTGGTTAACACTCTTTCCATATCTATTGATTAAAGCAACTAGGTGTTTGTCGTTTCACAACACTTCACGACACTTTAATTTGAGAGAGAGACGCACAGAGTAAGGACGATGGGGTTGTTGGGGCGGAGTAGATCAATCAATCAATCAATCAATCAAACAATCGATCAATTCACGATCTAAATACTAATTCATCCCTCCTTAAGTCTAATGTGTAGCTCAAGTCTTAAATCGGGGCAATCAATATTTGCTACGTATGTTGGAGGATCAGATGTCGATTATTCGTGCCTGAGGGAATTACACTATACTTATATTTTAGAGATCAGTGACCTACAAACCTTTTGCATCTTGAAACACAACCACAGCTTGACTACTTTTAGGAACATGGTGAACCTTCTCCACAGGACCCCCACCATTTTGACGACTCTCAAAGTACAGTTCAATAAAATCATGGGTAATGTCTGAAAAGCCAGTGAAAAGGGTGCTTTTGCAAACCGGGACTTGTTGGATGGTTTTTCCACCCCGTCCCCCACCGTGTCCCCTACCCTTTCGCTTCGGTTTTGGTTTCGGTTTTGGTGGAGGTCCTCGACCGCCTTGACCTCCACGTCCCATTTGAGGCTGAGAATTGCCTTCATCGCCAAAGTGCCGTTCCTGAGATTCATAAAGCAAATAATCTTGATTTCCTGCAATTGGTACCTGACGAAAGCAACCTCTTTGTCCTCGTTGGTTTCCACGTCCTCTCTGCGACGAAAAGGCGTTTTGATGATCAAACCACTGTCCTTGAGGGGTATAAAAGTGATCATCTCTATGCACTTGGGTGTTGTTTGGATCCTGGTAAAACCCACCTCTGGGTCCCCTTTCCGGTCCTGCTCTTCTGTTGCCTCTTTGCCTTGAGTTGTGGCCTCGACAAGCTTGGTTCCTCTCATTTTGATCCGATTTATCGCTATCACAACCATTTCTTCGCTCATCTTGTCGTTCTGCATCGCCATGTTGCCCTTGCGTTTGATTTTTTTCTCTTGGCCTACTTCTATTTTTCTTCCCTCTATTACTTTCGTGTTCAGGGCCTCCGGAAGATTTGTCCCCTGCCACCCAAGCTTGCTTAATAGAGCCGTGAGTTAGAGGATCTTCAAATTTTCTTTTAGGTTTCGTAATCAATGGCCTTCTTTCAGCTGGATTTTTAAAAACGTCCGCAGGATTCTCCGTATCACGAAACTTTTGTAGGTTTTGAAGTGCTCTTTCCATATTTCCTCTCACGTCATCTTGACGGAGAACTGTCGTGATAAGAACTAGTGGCAAACAACTGAATACCTCTTGCAGTTGTTTTGATTTTTGTTCAAATTCTCCTGGGTCTTCTTCGTCCGTCTCCAGCCCTTCTTGCTCGTTCTTGTTGACAGCAGATGAAAAATCCAACTCCTTGTCAACATTCTTCTCAACTGTTTCACGAAATCCGTCATCCTCTTTGTCAACAAAGTCAATGACATTAAAAAAACCACGATCTTTATTTCCTTCTTCTCCTTGTTGTTGTTGTTGTTGTTGTTTTTCTTCTTCTTCTTTTTCCTCTCCTTCTTCTCCTGTTTTCTCTTCTTCTTTCTCCTCTTTTATTTTTTTCTCTTCTTTTTCCTCTTTTTTTTCCTCGTCTTTTTCTTCTTCTTCTTCTTCTTCTCCTTTCTCTCCTTTTTTTTCTTCTTCTTCTTCTTTTTTTTCGTCTTTTTCTTCCTCGTCCTTTCTTTCTTCCTCTTCTTCTTCTTCTTCTTCGTCTTCTTTTTTTTCTTCTTCTTCATCGTTGCCGTCTGTGAATGAAAAAGTGAGGGACCAGCCAGTATTTATCAATGGTGGCCTTGAGATACATGTTATACCTCTCAAAGTCAACTAACAAAAAAAAGGAAATACAGCTAATTACAAGCGCCCCAAAAGTCAGTGAAGGTGATAATACAGGATTGTTTACTTTGATCTGTATTATTTTAATAGTTTGGAGAAGAAAACCGAAACGTCTAAATACGTTGGATCACCTAAAATAAGGCATCTTAATTCTTCACGTACTAGTTAAGCATACAACAATTCTAATCAATGAAAAGTTAGTTTCACATAATTTGAAGGTAAATTCACCGCGTAAAACTGAGAGGATGAAACTGAGCTGGCGTGGACTTTCATCCCCGATAACTCACGAACAGATCACAGACATAGAATAGAGAAATTCCTGCTAAATCTCCAAATTCAGTTGAAAGGTACGTACCTTTGATTTCATCAGCCATGGTGACTAAGGCTTTTCCATTCTTCAGCATCTGTAGGTCCTTAACCTCTTCCTTACCACTCTTTGCCTTGATAAAGTTCACCAGTCCTTCCCGTGAGGTTTTTTCACCCAGCCCTTGAATGAATATTTTATTTCTTTCAAATTGAGACTGATCAGCAGGTTCCTCTTCTGCCATACTGGGCATGCTCTGTGCTCGTCTTATCCCAGTTTGACCAGCATCTCTGTTACCAAGTCGGTTCTGTGGCCTACCGCGGTCTCCCTGTCTGCTTTTGTTGGTTTCACCTTGTCTGAACTTCCCTGCATCCGAATTATCGAAAGAACTGGGGGTTTTATTGCTGACAAGCTCCTTCAAGGATATTGGATGCACCTGATTTTCATGAGAACCTCCTCCTCTTCCATTTTGTTGGTTCGGTTGTATTTGCATAAACTGAGAGTCATCTTTAGCATCTGAAAACTGATTGCTCTCCTGAAAATCTCCCGGAATTTGATGTTGCTCTTGGAAATTTCCACCCCGTCCCCCACCGTGTCCCCTACCCTTTTGCTTCGGTTTTGGTTTCGGTTTTGGTTTTGGTTTTGATTTTGGTTTTGGTGGAGGTCCTCGACCGCCTTGACCTCCACGTCCCATTCGAGGCTGAGAATTGCTTTCATCGCCAAAGTGCCATTCTTGAGATCCATAAAGCGAATAATCTCGATTTCCTGCAGTTGGGTCCTGGCGAAAGCAACCTCTTTGTCCTCGTTGGTTTTCACGTCCTCTCTGCGACGGAAAGGCGTTTTGATGATCAAACCACTGTCCTTGAGGGGTATAAAAGTGATCATCTCTATGCACTTGGGTGTTGTTTGGATCCTGGTAAAACCCACCTCTGGGTCCCCTTTCCGGTCCTGCTCTTCTGTTGCCTCTTTGCCTTGAGGTGTGGCCTCGACAAGCTTGGTTCCTCTCATATTGATCCGATTTATCGCTATCACAACCATTTCTTCGCTCATCTTGTCGTTCTGCATCGCCATGTTGCCCTTGCGTTTGATTTTTTTCTCTTGGCCTACTTCTATTTTTCTTCCCTCTATTACTTTCGTGTTCAAGGCCTCCGGAAGATTTGTCCCCTGCCACCCAAGCTTGCTTAATAGGGCCGTGTGTTAGAGGATCTTCAAATTTTCTTTTAGGTTTCGTAATCAATGGCCTTCTTTCAGCTGGATTTTTAAAAACGTCCGCAGGATTCTTCGTATCTTGAAACTTTTGTAGCTTTTGACGTACTCTTTCCAGATTTCCTTTCACGTCATCTTGACGGAGAACTGTATTGATAATAACTGGTTTCAAAAAAATGAATTCCTCCTTCAGTTGTTCTGATTTTCGTTCAAATTCTCCTGGGTCTTCTTCGTCCTTCTCCAGCCCTTCTTGCTCGTTCTTGTCGACAGCAGATGAAAAACCCAACTCCTTGTCAACATTCTTCTCAACTGTTTCAGGAACTCCGTCATCCCCTTTGTCAACAAAGTCACTGACATTAAAAGAACCGAGATCTTCATTTCCTTCTTCGCCTTGTTGTTGTTCTTCTTCTTCTTTTTCTTCTTTTTCCTCTTCCTCTTTTTCTTCTTCTTTCTCGTCTTCTTTCTCCTCTTCTATTTCTTCTTCTTTTTCCTCGTCTTTCTCTTCTTCTTCTCCTTCTTTTTCTTCTTCTTTCTCTCCTTCTTCTTCCTTTTTTTCTTCTTCTTCTTCATCTTCGCTGTCTGTGAATGATAAAGTGAGGGACCAGTCAGTATTTACCAATGGTGGCCTACATACATGTTATACATGTTATACCTCTCAAAGTCAACTAACAAAAAAAAAAAAAAGAAATACAACTAATTTACAAGCGCCCCAAAATCAGTGAAGGTGATAATACAAGATTCTCTTCCCTCCTCTTTCCCCAAAAATCAGTTAAGTTTATAATTTACGATTTTCTCCCCTCCTCCTTCCCCCCCACCCCCACTGGAAATTTCTCCTTACCACCCTGCGTTTCAAATGGCCCTGTGGCTTTTTCCGCCATTACCGTACACGATCTCGCTACAGCGAGGGTCGCCCACTGACTTTCTATGGGAATGCCTCTTCGAACTTACAATACAACGTTTCATTACACTGAAAAATTCAACGTAACAATCTTAACGTTAGGGAGACGAATAGATGTTATGAGGAGCAAAACCAACGATTCGAATGGGGTTAGATAAATTATGCCGGTGTAATTTGGGGCATGATACTATAGTTAGAGCATCAAACATAATGCCAGCATAATGTCTAAACTTATGAAAAAATCCCTTGATTTTACAGTTCAACAAGAGATAAATTCTTTAGCCTGAGTAAAGTCAAAAGTGATCCCGCTTTTCCTGTTTGAACTTTAGGAATTCGAATGTTCTGATCTGAACTAAGCCTTTTAATCTCAACAAGTTTTACCTGTTAGTGATAGGAATGGTGGGCGGGGTTGAGGAGCTCTTAAAAGCTAAGCTGTTATTACGAATTACTGAACTGAGCGTGATGGAAACAAGTAAGCTTAATGCCATGGTGTT